GGGGTAGACTGTAGCAGTAATGAAATATTATTATTATGTCAGTTGTGTTTTGTTTTTGTTTTGTGTTTGTTTGTTGTTGTTGTTTTGGTGTCGGGGTTTTTTTGGGGGGTGCAGGTATTCTAAAGACATTTTCTGGTCATCTACTTGTTTGGGGCCATATTCCTCAGGTGGAAAGTGTCAGTCTATGTCTGACCCATCACACTGCAGTGCCAAAGGACACCAGTCACTAGGAAGATCAGAGAATGTGACATCGGAATATCTCGAGTCCGACCAGGTGGAGCCGTTGATGTTCCCTCCCCACACAGGACGTTCCGGACAGGGTGAACGTCATTCTACGCTTATATCGGGGATCAGTCCAGACCTGTACCGTTGGGTCAATGAGGTAAAGACGTACCCAGAGATGGATGTTCAATCCAGTCCCTGTACCGATGAGTTGTTGCAGGGAGAGGCATGTGGTGGAAGCCAAAATTCTGTCGATGACATTGACACGCCAAATTTTAAGACTCATTCTGAGTGTGAAAAAACGTGCGGAAACAGGTCACCGTTATCTGGACACTACAATGAGGAAAGGAAACTGGAGGTGGAGAAGAAAAAGAAAAGAAAATATCTGACTGAGGTAGAGAGGAAGAAAAGAATGCTGGAGGAGGAGGAGATGGATAAAATTGGAGGCTTGGATTGCATCTTAAAACCAAACAAAAGACCTGAAAATCCTCAAGAAGTGCCCTTTCATTTACTGGATATGTACTCCAACGAGACGGAGTCCGTAAATGAAGAGGCCAACAGTTGTATTACTTTGTCTGTTTGGTCATTATGACACCTGTAAGTGTTTGTTGGTGTGTGTGTGTGTGTGTGTGTGTGTATGTGTGTGCGTGTGTGTGTGTGTGTGTGTGTGTATGTGTGTGTGTGTGTGTGTGCTCATGCGTGCGTAAGCCTGAATTATCATGTGTGTGTGCGTGTGTGCGTGTGTGTGTGTGTGTGAGCGAGATAAATAGAGGTTGAGAGACAACGATAGAAAGAGAGAGAGAGAGAGAGAGAGAGAGAGAGAGAGAGAGAGAGAGAAAGAGAGAGAGATCGAGAGAGAGAATGTGTGTGTGTTCATATGTGTGTTCGTGTGTGAGTGCGAATGTGAGAATAAATGCATCTGAGAACAGGTTTATGTGTGCGTGTAGATTAAAGGTGAATGTGAGCCAGTACAGGTGGACGCATGTGATCGTGAATGTCTGTGTATGTCCGTCCATTTGCCATTATAACCAACGTCATCAACATCGATGTCATCATAATCTCCCCGTATATTTTCATTCCATCTCGCCTTTGTACATATGTATATATACTGTAGTTAGAATCTAGGACCATATTACGTGTGTGCTGACTTGCATATTATCTCAAAAACTGACTTTGGAGTATGGAAAAAAAGCTTCAGGAAGTCAGTTTATTTAGAATAGAAATTTAGCTCACTCATCTTGATCATTATCGTCATAAAAATGCCAGATTGAAGCAGACATTGGCGATCATGGTTCACCATTCATTGCTTTGCTCGGATGCTTTCAATAAAACCCATATTATCCCCCAATCTGTTGCTGTTTAGGTTTTCCAGGTACGTTGCTCTGGGTTCACCCACCACCGCCTTTTTTGCCTTCTGTTTTTCCATTTTGAGCAAGATGATAAGGCTTTCATGTCGATTCCACTGTCTCAGAAACTGCATGTGTCTCTTCCTATTTGTTTTTTTATCAGTGAGCGGTCCATATAGGCTTCTCTCAGTTCTACCTCATTTGATTTCTTTTCCTTTCATGAAAGTATAGTTGACTATAAATATCCCTTTAGAACTCTTATTCTGGTTGTCATGAAAATGTTTTTATTTTTCAAAATTATATTTAATGGAGCTCTCTTCAGTCATAGTAATTTTTCCTTGTACTTCTGTGGAACATTTGGCATCGGTTGTAATCCATCTATCCTAGCTATTTAAACTGTTGAACTTATTCGATCTTTTCACTTTTGCTTATGAAAATACAAATAAGATTTACTATTTTTATACATTATGATTCATTCTGTTTTCCTTTACGTTCAACAATAACCCTTTATGCTCACTTTTTGTCACAACTATATCCAGAAGCAATTCAATATCTCTTTCTGAGCCTGAAATCAAAAGTGTGTCTTCGCTATATACAATGTAATATCAATATTATAGTCAATATCACAAGTCTTGATATTAGTGAATAAATTTGCGAGAATTGATTTTTGCGATGTGCACGTTGTCCTTGTGTTCCTGTACAGTGTACAGCCGTTATTGTTGAATAATTTAGTTTGCTGCACAACAACAACCTACATTCCACATTTTAAAAAAGTTTTAGTAGAGCTTTTACAGCGTTTGCAACTGCATAAGGTCATTTGAGCGCCTAGGGGTGGATGTCAACAGAGAAGTCCTTACAGGGAATCAGACTTACTCTGCTCACCTCTCTAGCTTAAACGGCACAAAGTCTGCTTCGACTATCAAGTCATCCCGGAAATATGGGGTCACAATTTAAGAGTGTGACAAATATACAAAAGAAGAAGAGGAAAGTTGATGATAGTAAGGATGAATAAAGAAAAAGCAGCAGTTCCCTGTTGCAGTTCCGGCACTGTTATGAGCATTACATCGATGAATCAGCCCATTTACAATTTTACTGTGCAATAGAACATGGTAATGTCCCCCCCCTTTGGGAATGGCCTAAGACACTTCAGTCAGTAGCACCGCCCTGGGGGGGGGGGGGGGGGGGGGGGGGTATTACACATTTTGAAAAGCAGGCCAATCATTACCTTGAAAAGAAAAGATACAAAGGTTTCAAACCAGAGATCAACAAATATCGACCTTATTTCAGGAACTTGTTTGATCCGTCGACTTGGCGCCTCTCAGTTGAAGATTCCAACAGTTTTTCTTTTTTAAAGTTACCTATGTTGCCCTGGTTAGTTGGTTTGGGAAATCCAAAGTGGTGCAAAACTAGAACAGTACTGGTAGCGTCATCGTGGTGCCGTCTCTATTTCCACCAGCCTTATGCATAAAAAGATCTCAGAGGCCAACACCACTCCAAAGAGCGAAGCTGCATAGATTTAACGTACGACCCTTCCAACACTTGTTTAAGGGGCAGGACCTTCGAATTTAACGTTCATCTTCGGTAGGACCAAGCCAGATGGATAGAGAGCTTTTCAAAATTTCCGAAACAACCCAGGTTTAGTACGCTTCATTGCGCTTCGTTGAGGATTGAAACCAGGGCCATCCTATTCGTAGTCCAGCACGATGCCAACTGAGTTAACAGCGCCCCCCCCCCTTTCTGAAGAGCTGCCCAAACAGTAGAAAATATGCCGAAAGGTGATATATAAAATGGGAAGAAACTATAAAGACTTCGTTCTTTAATGGCATTCATCAACATATCATCAATGTGCGTTTTGAATTAACCGGTGCGTATTTTCTTGAAATTGCCCTTCACTTCAATATCACAGAAGATCAAAAACACATTTTCAGCATTTTACTGCGTTACTTGTTTCATCAGCAGTAGCTGCAGGTGTCAGCAGATGGCTATCCAAACTTGAACTCACCGTTGCCTAAGTTGGCATTTTGCTGGTTTTTTATTGTTATGTACTGTTGATGTAGTTGTTGTTGTTGTTGCTGTTGTTGTTGCTGTTGTTGTTGTTGTTGTTGTTGCTGCTGTTGTTGTTGTTGTTTAACACCCTACATGACACAATGTATGAATTTTTTAAGGCGGAATGCGTAGTCTTGTTTCTCGCTTCTGAAACCGGCCTAAGAAGAAATATCAATGCGCTACCCTAGAATTACAAAGTTATATCTGCTCACTATCTAGATTGGAGACATTAGACGTAAAAAATATTAGCTTTTCACAACTTCTCAAGTTTTTCAAATGCAGTTCTTTGAATGTCTTGATGACGACTCAAAATAATCTTACAATTTTGATGGAGCAGATGGAACATTTGGTTTCTGACCCCATGGTCTTTATAGTAACTCAAAACGGCCAAAAATGTCAGATAAAAACTTGCAATTCTAAAGAAGTGTAGATCAACGTACGAGTATTTACCAGAGAGAGTTGTTATGTGGTCGCTCACTATGGTTATCTGTTGTCTGAGGTGTAGTTGCAGTTGAAACGAGTCAGATATGTGTCACGCAGAAGAACAAAAGCGTTCGATAAAACGATTCGATCGAGTCGCTCGAAAGCCAGAACGCGGCGTCTGTGGTGTGGTGGTTAAGTGGGCATTATACGTTCAGTTCAAACTGACAGCTGTCCAAAATTCTCAATAAGTTTATAAAGGAGAATTTCATCACCCATATGGGGTAGGAAACAGTGCAGCAACCGGCGGCATAAAAATCAGACAGTGCCTGACTCTATCTTGAGACCGCCGACCGGCCAACCTGTAACGCCTGCGGCCTGACTGCCAACGATGAAGTTTCGGCTTATAAACTTACTGAAAACTTCGTCCTATCGTATTAAGAATATCAAATTCGGAACCAGCGTATCAAAATTGTTAAAATAACTAGCGGTTGGCTTTTTTGGATATGTTTTGAAGATCACAAAAAGATACACACACACACACACACACACACACACACACACACACACACACACACACGTGCGCACATACGCTCGCGCATATGCATACGCATACAGACAATGTAGACACACACCATAAAATATTAGCTATTTACGTAACCTCTCTTGAGATAATGCAACGTCTCAAAGCATCAAATTGCTTTATATGTAGTTGGCTCAAAGTTCAAGTTACGAGGGAGAGTCAAAAAGTAATGCCCATTCGTTTATAACTTAAAGGAAAAAGAAAGGAATTTTTGCAACTATCATACCGGTTCCTCAAATTGAAAGGGAACGCTTGATTATCATATTTCTTTTTCTCAACCTAGTCTCTATCTCGTTCGATAGCCACTGCCCACGTTTTAGCAAGTCCACATATGCCAACTTTGAAAAACTGTAGGTTGGTCTTTTAGCCAATTTGTCACAGAAGCCTTGATTTTTTCATTGTTTTCATAGTGTTAACCTCTCAATACTTCTTTCATGGGATTGAAGAGGGGAAAATCTGAAGGTCCCAAATAAGGACAATAAGCTGGATAAGGCAGTGTTTTCCATCCAATTGAAGTGATTGTCTCCCTTGTTCTGGTACTCGTACGCGGGTGAGCATTGCCATAGTAAAAAAGCACTCTTTCCACGTCGAAACTCGTTGAATTCTTGCTTTCTGCCGTTTCAGTGTTTTAAATAGGCTTCAGAATAGACAGCTATTCATCGGGGTAAAAAAAAATCTATGAGAAACATGTCATGAACGTCCTAAAACACGGTGGCCGTGATTTTTCGGCTGATTTCTCGGTTTTGAATTTTTGTTTTGTTTTGGAATATGTGAGATGTCACCATTCAATAGTTTCTTCAATTCTGCTTTATAGTAATGAGCCCATGTACGTCTCATCTACAGTGATGAGTCTTTCAACAACAAAAAATGTGTGTCTTTCACTTAGCTTCAATAGCTCAGCACAACAACACACCCTTCCAATCGTGTGTTCAGGGTTCAAACACCTCCAAACCCAACAGCCACAGACTTTGTAAAACCCAAATGACTCAACAAGGTTATGGGCACTTCCGTGGCTAACCTCTAGTTCCACTGCTAGTTCATCAAGTAAAATTCGCCGGTAAGCTCACAATATCAATCCTTCTGTCTTTGCCTTGTTGGTGGTGTTCACATTGCTTGAGAGTTGACAGAGTCGATGTCTGTCAGACAAGCATGTGGGTGGACAACACCTCTTCCTCTTCTTCCGGTCTATTGCACTACGTCTGACTAACCTAAACGGTACCGAAATAATTTAATAATATAAAGCTTGATTCTTGTAAATATGTTACAGTCTCTTATGGGTGTTAACGGTGATTTCTTTTCTGAAACAAGAGATTCAGTCACACCGTTTGCTTCTGACGGACTTTCGAGCTTTGCCATTTTGATGTGACGTCAGTCGTGCAAAAAAATGCGATGATCGATTTTCATTTTTTGACAGTTCGGGTTCAGATGTACATACGCAAGTACTGTGCGCCGAATGTCATAAAATCTATAACAAAATTGTACAAAATAACTATCTACTTGCTGTACTTTTTGACTGGCCCACGTATATTATTATCATTATTATCCCATATACTTTAGATTAACCCTTTCAACACGTATCCCAAACAAGCATCGCAGTTCTTGCTATTATTATCCATCAAATTGATCAGATAAGCCTATTACAGATGCTAACGGGATTATTAAAATTGCTATTGAATGTCCGACTAAAATATGTTGACGTGGGCCTTTTTCTTATCTCTGCACTAAAGAAAATATTATTTAATCGTTTTATTTCAAATGGATGCTCGCAAACAGTGCGAGACAAAACGGCGAGGGAGAGGCGATTGAAATTAATACAAAGGCAAAGAGGTTACCGGCCACAACAAAAGCGGTGTGATTCGTGGCGAGGCAAGAAGAATCAAAGCGATTGAAAGGAGGGCTCATTTTTTTCCGCTCGCACCGCAGCAGACGCTTGCGTACGCGCAGTTTAGAAAGCACGTTGTACACTAGACTTGCTCGCGTTCAGTGACGATAACAACAAAGGGAGTATTGACAGTTGTTTTTGAAAAAGATAAGCAAATAAAACCAAAGAAAACTATTAATATTTAGTTTTTTTTATTCGAGACAAAACATTGCAGAATAATCGGTCTCTTTTAAAGTATTATCTATTCATCTTTCTCTTCAACATTCTTTTTTCATACACTCATCCATTTGTCTGTCTGTCTGTCTGTCTGTCTGTCTGTCTGTCTGTCTGTCTGTCTGTCTGTCTGTCTGTCTATCTGTCTATCTGTCTT